TTCTACTTACTGACACATTTTGGTGAAGGTGACCATCCATTTCTCGTGCACTCAACTACCTTTTCTCCATTATCAGGTTCAAAAGTAAATCCACTGTCACACAGAATTCGAATTAGATCTCCATCATGGTATAAAGTTCTTTGAGGTCGGAAAGAACCATTTGATATTCTTGGAGAATTGCATGTAATTTCTAAAGAAAATAAATCATATCTTATATTGAAAAAAAAAAGCTTACATTCATATCAGATTATGGGCCTTGCTTTCTATTAGCATAGAAAACAATACCCTTATTTTTTAAACATCCATAGGACCATGAGACCATTTTCATTAGCAGTCATGCATACTGATGGGCATTAACTAATTTAAAACTGCCAATTAGTATCTAAAATATACTGTGAAATCAACCAATTTGATTTAAAATACTTTTAGTAGCGCTTGGCTACTATTTATTTGGAAGATTGCAAACAAACTTAGCAAGTTGCTATAATTATTCTTCCCTTTCAATCTAAAGCTACAATTTGATATCTCTATTCTTGCTGTTCCATCCCACGCTCAGTCCCAGCAGTGTTTTCAGCCACCTGCAAAAGGATTGCAAATTAGAGGCGCCACATTGCAGTGGTTCAGCTCCTGCCTGAAGTTACAGTTTTGGTTAACAATAACAGGGGAAAGAAGTCAGGCCTTCAAATGCTTTGTGATGGAGCTTGCCAGACTTGTTTCTTTTCCCATTCTGTTCAAATTCTGCTCAGAATTAGGAGCGGTCATCTATCTATGATGATAGCTCTCAGGTAGTGGATCACCAACAACAATATAGATGGACCATTGGGGTGATGATGGATGCATTGCTGGAAGTCCTGAAGGATAGATTGGGACAAATTTCCTGGAGATTATCAATGAATGAGATTTCTGAGAGTGGAGATCACCTTCTTGGCATGTACTTAAACAATTAATTAGCTCCTCCTGGGATTGCCCTGGGGGTACCGTCAAAACATCAACTGGTCTAGAATTCAATAGCCTGTATGCTCAGTATATACTCTTAGATCTGCTATGTTACATCACTGCTGCAAAAATTGCACTGGCTACCAATGTGCCTCTGAGTACAATCCATGAAGCTGGACATGACTAGTTCTTTATAGCTCAAGTACGAGGCATCTATGACATTGAGTTTTCCAACTAACAACAGTTTGTCTAACCTGGATGGCAAGAGTCCTCGGCTTTCAAATTAGTCAGGGAGTGATATTTCCTTGCAGCTCCCCTCCTTAGGAACAGCTGCCCTAAGTAGAGAATGGCAACCATTCTCCTGGTTTTCTTGAAGCCAATAGTGAGTGTAGGACCACACAGATTTATGTCTATATGTGTGCATTTTTCTTTTCTTTTTTTCTTTTTCTTGAAAATTTTCTTGATTTTAAAAAACAAACATAAACAAACAAAACATAGAACATAAAAACATAAAACATCTTTTTTGAAAGCAGCCTGATCCCGGGTTACATCTCTTCGTGCAGACACAAATTCAAGTTCATGCTCATTTTTATATTCCATTCCATATCTTATTATCATTCTACATTTTCTATATAACTTCTCCCCTCTTTCAACTTTCTTAATTTTATTTTATTTATTTCATCTCAATTCAAATCATCATACTTATATTCTTTGTCTGTCCTATTTCAGCTGTCTATTATCTTTTCTCATTAAGCAAAATTTCTCCTGTGATCACTAATTGGAGTATGACGCCTTTATATCTTTCCCCTAAAATTATAACACTTAATATAATACATAACTTCCATTCGGATTCTGCTTGGTACATTCTAAAACTACACAATGTATTTTAAAAAAAGAAAAAATTATAAATATATAACATAATTAAAACAACAATCCATACCAATTCAATTCTATCATTAATATTAATATTCATTTAAATCTTGAACATTTTACACATTACTTTTCAAATAAGTATCATACTTCTATGGGAACACTTATAAACTTTCCATAATTACTTCCCTCCCACTTCAGTTATATTTTATAAAACATTGAGTAGTTAAAATGTTCCCATTCCTTCCTAATTCAATTCTCTCATTTATTTCATTTCATTTATTTTGTTCACAAAAGTTTCACTAAATTTCACAGACTATTTTATTCCACTTTTTAATCATGTTTCCAATTTTCTAACATTATTTCTATTACAAATATAACAATACAATCTTATGTACCTTTACAGAATCCCTTCTTCAGTTAAATTTTCACCCATTTTCTCTGAATAAATCCTGTTTCTTTACATCTTGCTCGAGACCTTTGTAACTTCTCTTCCCTTTCTTCTTCTTCTCTCTCCCCTTTTTACCCCCCTGTCTCTCCACCTCCATTTCCCTTTTCTGTATTCCCCTTTTCTGTTGCTTTCCAACCTTATATCCCCTTTTCACATTATTTTTCCCTTTTTTGGCTGTTTTTTAGATCTTAGATTCTCCATTCTCTTTTCCCCCTTTCCCCTTTCTTCCCCAGATATAATTACTTGTTCATTAAAGATGGCTTCTTCTTTATCCCAATCTTCTTGTTGCGCAGTCTTTTCTTGTTGTTTTTTGTAGACACCAATCACCATTTCTAAGAATTGAAAAGTGGAGCCAAAGGAGCCCTTCCCTTCTTGTTCCTCTTCTTTATATTTTTTAAATTCGATTTTCAGTTCATCCAGTTCATTCAGTTCATCCTGAAGTGATGCCATTGTAGAGTGTGTGTTTTTAAACAACCAGCCAATTGTTTTTAGTCATTCAAATATGATTTCCAAAAATCCCAAAGTCACCAAACAATCCAAATACACACAAGCTGTTTCTTTTAACACTTTCTTCTTTTTTCACTTTCTCTTCTTGGGGTTACTATTTAGTTGCAAAGTTCCAGTTAAAATGTATCCTTTAGAAGTCTTGTTAAGATTTAACTTTAAATTCTTTTGAATTCCAAGCAGTCTCCTCCTTCCAAGTCCTGCCCTTATTCTTTTCCTCTCCCTTCCCACTTATAGCAAAAAAGGGGATTTTTTAGTGTTCAGAAATGTTTATTGTCCCTTTGGCATTTAATTATATTTCCAGTTTAATTACCTGTTAGTGCCAAAGCGGATTTCTTGGATTTCTTTATTCAGATCTTCTTGTTATCAGCGTGAGGAAGGAGAGTGAAGAAAAAAAACCCTTTCCCTTTTCACTTTGTTTCACTGTTTCCGACTCTTCTTTGGGAGCGATGTATCTTTTGTAAGATTTAAATTCCACGGTACCTTAGTTGTTGCTTTTTGTCCCGGTCAGCCAAAAACTTTCACTTCTTAACTTCCTCCTGCACTTTCTTTTCCGGCTGAGTGCTTCTTTGAGGCGGCCATTTCTGACCGCCGCTCTTACCGCCTTCGGGAAAGGGAGTTTAGCCAGCTGAGGAGGAGAGGTGCGTCTCCCCTCGACCCTGCTGGGTCTCCCCCGTCTTCACCACCTCTACGGGGTGGCTTAGCCCCGAAGCCAGCTGGCTCGGGCCGCTCCAGCGGCGAGCCCAGGCAGAAACCGCACACGATCGTGGATTCCTGCCTGCCGCCGAAGCCCTGCAAACCGGAAGTCATGTGTGCATTTTTCTTATGATTTATTCTTAGTCATGATTTTACAGAATTTTAATTTTTGATTATTTTATTGCTATTTTAATATCTGTAAACTGCCTAGAATCCATAAGGATCAACAGGGTACAGAAATAGCATGAATGCATAAACAAAGAAACATCTCCATGATATTCTTCTGATGCCTGTGGTGGAACAGCTGGTTCTGGGAGATGTTGAACTGCTAGAATTGTGAGATGTCCTTCACTAGACATCCCCTAATCTGTTAGTGCTAAAATTAGAAGCACAGCAATATTCTTCACCAGTAACTAAAGAATTTCCTATAGTCTTGTTAGAAACAGAGTTGGAATTTCTATTGGTATTGATATTTAGATTTTTGTATGGCAATAGTTTATAAATTCTTTAAAAATGGAAACAATAGTAGCTCAGCTATGGAGTTTATTGTCAGCAAAAGCAATTACTGTATTTTTAAAGATATAAAAATATTGCCATGCAGATATATTACCCTATGTTGATGAAACAGCAGACTATTTTTTGGTGGGGGGCCTGTAAATCTGAAGAGTGCAAAGTGCGGTTTTTGCATTAACTTGGCCATTAAACAATGGAAGGATCTTTCATTGCACCACTCCTCTCCAGCAATCTGAAGCCTTTCACGTTGCCCTATTTCAACTATATCCCAAGAATTCTATTGGGCCTTTTCAGCATAGAAAAGTGCAGCCCAGCTGGGAATGCTTCAAGAGGAATAAAAATATCAGTACCAGTAAAGCACATAAATAATTGCAGCTTATTTTAGTTCTAATCATTAATAGACTCAAACTGAAGTGCTTTGGCTTTGTATTGGTGATAGCAGAATTATAAAATTAAACTTTTCAAGTCACCTTTGCATTTAGGAATCACGGATGGTGTCCCATCACACTGGATTACAAAAGCTGATTGGGAAGAATATGCTTCCAGGACATATCCTGTTTTACAGGTCAGCTCAATAGAATGACCACGCTGAATAAATATATTTTCAGGCACATCTATTTCATCTTTAACTTCTATTTTCTGGCTTTCCAATTAGTCCTGGGGATCACACAGGGATCTGAGGTGGAAAAAGAAAGCAAATCCTATTAGAAAAGGCTGTTGGGATCCAAATACATCATATTACCATATTGCAAGGTTTAGCTAGATTTAGCTTTCATCTAGTAGCTACTTCACCTCAGATATAGGACTGAAATTGTATATAAAGGAGAGCTGCTGCAGGCAACATCAATTAAA